GATAAAAGTCACCGAAGCATAATAAATAATGACGAGTTTCAAACCATTCAGAATAGCTAAATGTAGATGTTTTTGCGTGTGATGTGGGTTGGAGCTGCTGCTGAGTAGAGGTAGCTGAGAAGGTGATTTTCCTTCTCAGGAAAAGTACATCAAATGTTTGGCTATAAATGGTCAGAAAGCATTCTTAACAAGACAGTGGTATCGATCAGGAAGTAATTATTTGCTGGAAATGGGCTGTCTTTTCATTGAGTAATTAAGATGGTGTCACTTGATAAGGACTGGGGGAATCACTCTTCCAGCTCAGTGTCATTAACCTAGCGTCAAGGCAACAAGCTGGCTTGAATTCTCTCTCTCGAGCTTTCTTTCATTAATGTGTCTCCTGTTCACAAGTTACAACTTGCTCCTTCCATTGTGTTTCTCCAAACACAAGTGACAAGGTGAAAAGAAAGTGAGGCAGATTTTATTATTTAGCACAAGCCTTCAAGAAAAACAAAAATAAACCAACCAGTGACTAGTTCCATTGAAAGGCAATATTCTTCCTCTAAACAGTTTGTATATCCTTGTGGTTGAGAGACCAGTAGTGTCAACATCAACCAGGAGCTTGTCAGAAATGCAGAATCACCCCATAGACACCTACTGTGTACCCACAAAAATTTTAAAAATGTGAAAAAGATTCTAGCACACTAACATGGATTGACACCTTCAGAATTTCAACAATAGTTTAATTAATGTATATCTAATGCTTTGCACATGAGTTGGCACAGGAAAATTAAAATAAAGTAAAAGAACTACAGAATCTTAGACCCTATCCAGAATCAGAGCCTGACCTTTCACAGGATCCCCAGATGATTCATAGTCACATTGAGGTTTAAAAAATATTACTGGCTGGGCACGGTGGCTCACACCTATAATCCCAGCACTTTGGGAGGCCAAGGCAGGTGGATCACAAGGTCAAGAGATTGAGACCAACATGGTGAAACCCCGTCTCTACTAAAAAATACAAAAATTATCTGGGCGTGGTGGCACGCACCTGTAGTCCCAGCTGCTCCGGAGGCTAAAGCAGGAGAATTGCTTGAACCCAGGAGGCAGAGGTTGCAGTGAGCAGGGATCGCGCCACTGCACTGAGCCTGGCACCTGGCAATAGAACGAGACTCTGTCTCAAAAAAAAAAAAGAAAGAAATATTACCAAATATGGCCAAGCAAGGTGGCTCACGCTTGTAATCCCAGCACTTTGGGAGGCTGAGGCAGGTGGATCGCTTGAGTCCAGGAGTTCGAGACCAGCCTGGGCAGCATAGCGAGACCCCATCTCTACTAAAACTACAAAAATTAGCTGGATGTGGTGGTACACACCTATAGTCCCAGCTACGTGGGAGGCTGAGGTGAGATAATCACTAGAGTTTGCAGTCAGCCAAGGTTGTGCCACTGCACTTCAGCCTGGGTGACAGAGCAAGACTCTGTCTTAAAAAAAAAAAAAAAAAGAAAAGAAAAGAAAAGAAAAATAAACCTTGCCAAATATACACTTCTCGCTAAATGACACACCACCTGTAGCTGCCTGAAGAACTTTCTCTTCTGAAGCTTTATCAGCCTTGGTGACTTGTTAAGATTTTAACAAAAATTGGGAAAGAGTCACTGTTTATCCAGTAAGGGGAAGCCTTGACAATTTAGCTCCCCAGTCACCCCAGAGATACCCATCTGTGAATCAAGAGCCATATTCCCACAGCACCAAACAGAGTAGGCTATTGTTCTAAAAATACCACCTAGAAACTTTGCCAAACAGGAGCAAGCTTTGTCTGTTCTAGCCAGGATGCAGGAGGGTGCTGTTGGCTCTATGTGCCCTTTCTTTCTCTGCACAGTCCAGCATGACCCCTCGTTCACAATCAAACTGCCTTTCATATACAGGAGCACCAAAAGGCACAGGAATGCACGCCAGCAGACTCATTAGCACCTCCCCAGCATCACCTTGGTCCATCACAGCAATGAATTTCTCAATACATCACAGCAATGAATTTCTCATCTAAACCTTGACCTAAGGATCATTATAAAACTGTCTTGAGGCTGGGCACGGTGGCTCACACCTGTAATTCCAGCACTTTGGGATCACCAGAGGTCAAGAGTTCAAGGCCAGCCTGGCCAACATGGTGAAAGCCCATCTCTAATAAAAATACAAAATGAGTCGGGTGTGGTGGCACCCTCTGTAATCCCAGCTACCCCAGGGCCTGCGAAATGAGAATCACTTGAACCTGGGAAGCAGAGGTTGCAGTGAGCCAAGAATGTGTCACTGCACTCCAGCCTGGGCAAAAAGAGCGAAACTCCATGAAAGAAAGGAAAGGAAGGGAGGGAGGGAGGAAGGAACGAAGAGAGGGAGGGAAGGATCTGCTAAATTGGTTTCATTTAGAAGGAATGAAAGAAACTAAAAGCCTTTCACTTGAGCTTTGACAATAGCCAGAAAACCCTTGTTAATAATGAATGTTAAGTGATAACATTTAATTAGCAATGGGTTATACATAGAAAGACTATTGCTTGGAATTAACACAGACTCAATCTTAAATTTCTGTGTAACTGTTGGCTGTTCCTTCTATAGATTCTCCTAAAAATGGGACAATGGCAGCTCACAACCATTTTTCCTCTTTTCAGAGATATCTTATTTGGTTGAGAACTGGGTACTATTTTGGCTCTTGCCATCTTCAACAGCTGTTCCTCAGTTAAGTGGACAGAGGTGATGTTGGGGAGGTGCCAGTGAGTCTGCTGGCGTGCATTCCTGTGCCTTTTTGGTGCTCCTGTATGTGAAAGGCAGTTTGATTGTGAACGAGGGGTCATGCTGGGCAGAGAAAGAAAAAAGGATCTGATTACCTCAGACCTCAGATCACTGGTAAACAAAGATTTAGCAACAGCCTTGCTTACAACGCATTATAGCTGAGTGCAAGGGAATGTTTTTCAGACTGTCCCCCCCCACCAAAATTGAATAGTATTTGGCACATTAGGAAGGTTCTTTAGAGAAACAGAACCAATCAGATGTTTTCTTTTCCTTGGGGAACCTCCGTCTTTTTCCGCATAAGGTCTTCAACTGATTGGTTGAGGCCCACCCACCTTACGGAGGTGATCTGCTTCACTCAAAGTCTACTGATATAAATGTTAATCTCATCTGGAAACTGTCTTCACAGCAACATCTAGATGAGTTTGACTAAATACCTTGATTCTATGGCTTTGAAACCAGGTATTGACTTCTCTTTAGCTGTAAGAGTCCTAGACGGCATATCCTTCCAAAAGAAGGCTTTTTGTCTACACTGAAAATCGGCTGTTTAGAGTGGCCACCCTCATCAGTGTTCACAGCCAGATCTGAGTAACTTGCTGCACTTGTTGCTCCACCTTGCACCTTTTCGTTCTGGAGATGGCTTCTTTCCTTAAACCTCTGAAGCAACCTCTTCTAGCTTCCAACTTTCCTTTGGCAGCTTTGTCGCCTCTCTCAGCCTTCACAGAACGAGAGAGAATCAGGGCCTTGCTCTCGGTTAGGTTTTGGCTTAAGGGAATGCTGTGGCTGGTTTGATCTATGCAGACCACTCAAACTTTCTCCACATCAGCAATAAGGCTGTTTTCTTTTCTTATCATTTGTGTATTCAGTGAAGTAGCACTTTAATTTCCTTCAATCACTTTTCCTTTGTGTTCACAACTTGGCTAACTAGAGCAAGCAGCTTAGCTTTCAGCCTCTCTTGGCTTTCAACATGCCTTCTTCACTACACTTAATTATGTCTAGCATTTGACTTAAAGTGAGAAACCTGAGACTCTTCCTTTTACATGAACACTTAAGAGGTCATTGTAGAATTATTAATTGGCCTAATTTTAATATTCTTGTGTCTTAGAGAATAAGGAGTGCCGAGGCAAGAGAAAGAGAGATAGGGGAACAGCCATAGGTGGAGAAGTCAGAACACACATTTATTCATAAGTTCGCTGTTTTCTATGGGCACAGTTTGTGGCACCCCAAAACAATTACAATAGTAACACCAAAGATCTCTGACCACAGATCACCATAACAGGTATAATCATAGTGAAAAAGTTTGAAATATTAAGAGAATTACCAAAATGTGACACGGACACATGAAGTGAACACATGTTGTTGGAAAAATGGCACCAATAGGCTTGCTCCACCCAGAGTTGCCGCAAACCTTCCATTAGTAAAAAACGTAATATCTTCACAGCCCAATAAAGGGAGGTGCAATAAAACAAGGCATACAAGGTATGCCTGTACTTTGAATTCAGCAAATACCAGCTTTTTATATGATTCAAGAATAAAGCCAAACATTTTCTTATCGTTTGTTCACCTTAGAGGTTTTTGGGTTTGTTTTGTTTTTAAACCTGCAGACTTACAGAAAGTTGCCCCAGCCTCACCCCTTCCTACCTATACCCGGGGTTGGCATGTCACTGTCCCCTAAAGGACACTCAATGTCAGCACCAGTTGTTTTTCACTGGAAAGGCCAGGATAGGGAAGGATCACAGAGGCCCCTGCTAATAAGCCTGGAGGCATTGGGTGAAGGGATTGGCTTTTGCTGAGCAGATGACAGAGTTAATCTACCATTTTCTTAGCTTTGCCAATGGACCACACTATTTTATTGAATTGATGAGTAAATACTATAGACATAAGGCCATTTGAAGGAAAAAAAATAGTAAGTGAATGGTATAAAAACAAGCTATTTTCACTTTGCCAAATACATTCTCATCAATTAAGAGAGCCACCTCTATTTCCTTGAGACAGAAAGCATTTTAATAGGATTTAAGATAACATTATATAACCAAAGACTTGACTGATAAGTTTTCCAAGAAAGGGACACTCAGTGTCTGCCATGTGCCTCGGCTGGTGCTTGGTACTTCATGCAAGCCATCGTGTTAAAAGGTAGGTGCTCCTGTTATACCTGACATGTGATGAATCTGCTCAGTGCAATGCGGGAACTCACTCGAGGCCATACAGCTGGTTAATGGTTGAATCAGAACTCACCTCTACACTGGGTTCCTGAAGTCTGGGTTCTTCCCTCTCCATTGTGATGACGTATACTTATAGGCCTAGATCTTGCTTCTAAGGCTGGGCCCATCCATCTCTCATCCCATCCATTCCACACTGGCAAGATTGCATTCTAGGCTGGTGCTAAACAAAACTAAGGAAATACACAGTTTGTCTTTGACAACATTCTCAACTCTATAGCAAACTTTGGTCACCTCTACAAACTTTCAGCTACCTGGTGGTTTCATCGATGCCTCGTTGGTTGCCCAGTTAGCTTTAATGGCACATGCACCTGAGTCTGTTTGCTTTTCAGCATCTCATACTCTTTTTTTTTCTGTTTACTACCCAATTTATTAGCGAGATCTCTTTGATGTAAAAAGAAGGGGTATGGTGCGGATGGGTCGGTAGGGGCCAGCATCTCACTATATATATAAGTATATATATATATATATATATACACACACGCAAGTTTGCGCATATCATAATCTTTTTTTTTCTGTTTAGTGCGTAGTTCTCTGGGGTGGTCGCTTTGTTGTA